ATACGTCAAAGCGGTCATCCTTCGTCATCCTTCGTATAAACGATGAAATTTGTGTACTTCGTATGTATTGTTTGGGCTACCTGTGGAATCACTCTCTTCTCCGTAGTACCTGGTAGTGCCCAGTACCATGGTAGTACAGGACGTACGATAGACCACGGATGGCTAATCTCAAGGTAATACTGCGACACTCCAGTGACCATGCACAAAATAATTGCAGACGAGGTTCCGAGGAAATAAAAGAATAAGTCAAGATTATCCATTGTTTTTCCGGAGCCTCGTCTGTATTCTTTTGTGCAGTAGTCGTCGAACCAAAATATCTTAATTTTAGTCAACTTTTAAGTTAATAACTTAAAAGTTGACTAACTTAATGCTTATAACACCTTATCAAAGGGAGCTTTCCATTTGTCACAACTGGCTGGCCAGTCCCAGAGAAAATGTCATTACAGATCATTCTTATTTAGTTAGGAAATTCAAATTTTCAAATTCTATCCATTATTCTATAGAAATGACTGAAAAATGTTGACAAAAAGCATTATATAAGCTTACCTCTAAATAGAGCAGACTTGCCAGCCAGTTCTGCCTAAATGGAAAGCATCCAAAGTGTTAAACAATTTTTCYTAATATACAGATTGAAGGATTAATTGCAGCAACATTTGCACCTCTCGATGATGATGGGTAAGGATCGACTTCTGGAAGACTTTCGGCCAGCTTTTAAATTCTATTTATAACTTATATTCTTTGCTGAGYCGAAAAGTTATTAACTTAAGTTTAATTACTTAAAGCTTTTTCACGTTGATTTTTTACAGCGAAATCAATTTGGATATAATACCAAAGTATGTGGATCACTTGATGAAAGAAAATGTTGATGGTGTTTTTGGTAAGCGTGCAAATACAGTGACAACAATATTTTAATAATAATGTAATAGTTAAAGTGACGGTTTTGAATGCCATGTTTCCGGGTAGTTAAAATCTCCCTAGGGGGGAGAGCTCATTTTTAGTTCTCCATCACGTGCCGATGACACAGGGAATTACTTTTGAAGCAGAAGGTACCTTATGCAAACTGTTATATTTTGTAGTAAATGGTACTTCAGGAGAAGGTTGCCTTTATACAGTAGAGGAAAGAAAGAAACTTGCTGTGCAGTGGTTTAACTCAGGCAAAAATAAGTATGATGGCATAATTATGAATGTAATGTAAACTTTCAATATAAGATTAAACTGGTGTATATATTCATAGGTTGAAGTACATCATCATTAATGTTGGTTCAGAGTCCATAAAAGATACACAAGAACTAGTATGTTATATTACTCATTTAACTGATTATTGCTGCAAGTGATAGCGGCTATTTAAAGGCTGCAAGGGACTTAACTGATTATATGGGAGAACCCATGATAGTTGCAATGGATCAGCAATAYCACCTACTATTTTGTTATCATATTCTGTTCAGTGGTTTATATTGCTGCAATGTGATTCTGTKTAATTGAAAGCTTTGAAGAATATGTAACRCTAGATGATAGATGTGATGTCRTGGATTAYTTACTAGTAGATCAAACCCACTGTGTTTCAATGAAAATTCATTTGAGTGAAACTGACCAATCACCTAATGAGTCAATCAATCCATACCTGTTACAAATTATTATGATTAAAAGATACTGTAAATACTAACMACAGTCATACTATTGAATGTCCCAACAACCCTCAATATCTTCTAAATTAAAAACAATCTCTTGTTTAGTAATTGCATTATTTCAATCTAATACACCACAGTTTCATTTTCAAGGCAATACAATCAAYACTTTCAATCTYAAAGCACTTAATTTTCAAACTGCTAGTGTATTATGTATAATTATTGTGTAATATTTGTTTGACAGGCTAAACATGCTCAAGATATAGGGATAACTTGTATTGCTGTCGTGTCSCCTGTTTACTACAAACCACAAACTGCAGGTATACTTTTAAAATTCATTAATTTATAAGCATAGACTATTTGCATCTTGGTGTCTCAAGTTCTTTGACTTTTTCTGATTCTAGCCTTTTTAATTTATTTATTTAATTTTTTTTGTATTTCTACAACGCTATTAGTAACTTGATTACTTAAATGATATGCTGTTATTTAAGATGCCATGACAGATTATTTGGAACAAGTGTACAAAGCRGCACCAAGAATACCAATGCTTTATTATCATATTCCTATGATCACTCATGTCACATGTAAGTACAACCTGCCTTTCTTGCAACGTTACATTACAAGCATTGATTGTATATTTTGAAATCTGGGATGTATGATCTAATAAAATTTCCTCCATAACTAGTTTCTTTGGAGTCAGTTTTCCATGCTGCACAAGACAAAGTTCCTTCACTTATTGGGGCTAAATTCACCAGTAAAGACCTTGGAGATGTGCAAAGMTGTCTGGACATTTTTGATGGAAAATATCAAGTGCTTTATGGAGGAGATGATGTAAGATAAAAACKTTGTTCTTTGGACCCCTCCAAAAAATAATCAATGTYTTTCTAAATGGATTTGTAGATGATTCTTGGTGCATGTGCGATGGGAACCACATCAAGTGTAGGAGTGTAAGTATGTTGTGATTTGTCATAACAGTCTTGTYCATTACACAAAAAMCATTTTAAGAACCTAACTTGGTCCTGGATTGTATTACCTATTCAATGACAGATCATTTAACTATGCTGGTTCTATAGCAAGAGCTTTAGTYGATTCATTCAAGAAAGGTGATTTAGTCAAAGCCAGAAAACACCAGGTAAGAAGTACAAAAATGTTTGCTTTAATTGTCTGCAATGCATTAAAAGATTTTATTGGTGACAAACTATTATTTCATGTCAGTACTCATATTGCTATGATATTATTTATATTTTCAGGCTGATTTACAATCAATTCTTAAAGTGATTCAAGACAATGGTATGTTTGATTAGATTAGTATATGTCACCCCTAAAGTGTATTGTTAGGGGCAAATCTGCCACCCCTGGAGTGTAGTATTAGGAGCAAATTTGCCACCTGTGGAGTGTAGAGTTAAGAACAAATCTACCACCGCTGGAGTGTAGTATTAGGAACAAATCTAGAGTGGGAATGGTTGCAATTTATTCTCCGAAATATGAATGGAGTTAAACAACATGCGATATCTAGGAACCCTGTGTAGTCTAAACAATTCAAT